CGACACGGCGATTGGCGGTGCTGCTAGCGGCAAGCGTCGCATGGTTCTGATCGCCACCATGGAGTACGACATTGAGGATTGGGCCATCAAGATCAAGATTGGTGGCCTTGGTGTCATGGCGCAACTCATGGGTAAGACTCTGGGTCATCAAGACTTGATCTGGGTGGTGCCCTGCGTCGGGGGCGTTGATTACCCCGTGGATAAACCCGCAGAGCCCATGCACGTCACCATTCTTGGCAATTCATACGAAGTCCAGGTCCAGTACCACGTCTTGAATAACATCACCTACGTTTTGCTGGATGCCCCTGTGTTCCGTCAACAGTCCAAGTCAGAGCCTTACCCCGCCCGCATGGACGACCTGAACAGCGCCATCTACTACTCCGCCTGGAATCAGTGCATTGCTGAGGCCTGCAAGAGATTCCCGATCGACCTCTATCATATCAACGATTACCACGGTTCCCTGGCTCCTCTGTATCTACTCCCAGATACAGTGCCTGCCTGTCTTTCCCTGCACAACGCCGAGTTCCAAGGTCTGTGGCCCATGCGGACGCAGAAAGAAAAGGAGGAAGTTTGCTCTGTGTTCAACCTGGATATCGAGACCGTGAGGCATTACGTGCAGTTCGGCGAGGTGTTCAACTTGCTCCACTCGGGTGCTAGCTATCTTCGTGTTCACCAACAGGGTTTCGGTGCTGTCGGTGTGTCCAAGAAGTATGGAAAGCGGTCCTACGCGCGTTACCCCATTTTCTGGGGTCTCCGAAAGGTTGGAAACCTACCTAACCCTGATCCGTCCGATGTCGGTGAATGGAGCAAGGAACAGGCCAGCGCCATGGGTGATAATGTGACCGTGGATCCGACTTACGAAGCTGGACGAGGCGACCTCAAGCGTCAAGCTCAAGAGTGGGCCGGTCTGGAACAAAACCCTGACGCCGATTTGCTTGTCTTCGTTGGTCGTTGGTCGATGCAGAAGGGTGTTGATTTGATCGCCGACGTCATGCCTGCTGTCCTGGAAGCGCGCCCCAATGTTCAGCTCATTTGTGTTGGACCGGTTATCGATCTCTACGGTAAATTCGCGGCTCTCAAACTGGACCATATGATGAAGGTCTACCCCGGACGAGTGTTTTCCAGACCCGAATTCACGGCATTGCCCCCCTACATCTTCTCTGGTGCTGAATTCGCGCTGATTCCCTCTCGTGACGAGCCCTTTGGTCTGGTCGCCGTCGAGTTCGGACGTAAGGGAGCTTTGGGTATCGGTGCCCGGGTTGGTGGTCTCGGTCAGATGCCAGGTTGGTGGTACAATGTGGAATCGACTTCTACTTCTCATTTGCTCGTTCAATTCAAGCTGGCTATCGACGCGGCGCTCAGTTCGAAAACGGAAACTCGTGCCATGATGCGTGCCCGGTCCGCCAAACAGCGCTTCCCGGTGGCCCAGTGGGTGGAAGACTTGGAGATCTTGCAAACCACCGCCATCCAAGTGCACAACAAGGAATTGGTCAAACATAATGGTCGACCCTTCACCCCGTCTGGAACTACCACGCCGAGTGGCATCTTGAGCCAGCCGTCAAGCCCACTGATGCCCCCGGGAATGCAGACCCCCATGGCCCATTCTCGGGACAGCAGCTATTCGAACCTGAACCGTCTCAGTGAATATGTCACAGATCCGAAAACAAACTACAGTCGCGATATCAGCCCCAGCGGTACTGAAAAGCCGCGGTCCGGCCTGCAACGGCAGCTCTCACTTGGTGTTCGCTCCGGACCTGGTCATCAAGAGCGCCGTGGCCGTCGTGGACGCCAACGCGACAGTATCCCCGAACACGAAGACACCGCCGGGGCCATGACTGACGTTGAAGAAGACCACGAGGATATTGGTGATCAGCAGGACGCGGACGACGAGTACACTCTCACCCCAGCCCAGGTCGAGGAAGGACGTCGCTTGCAGGCGGTCCAGCAGCAGGGAGTTGGTATGCCCACGAGCCCGGGCATTCGCCGTTATAGTCAAGACTCCTTGCATCCGCGACAGCTTCCTAGCAGCCCTGGACCCGTTCCCACTCCTACACAGAGCCTCCTCCCGCCACCGAGGCTTGGGGATGCCGGTAGCCGACTCAGTAGCGCATCTGTTCTATCTCTGGACTCGGTCGTTGGCACCAAGACGGACTTTAAGCTGCAGAAGGTCGACCCCTTCTTTACGGATTCTACCGGCGAGTACTACAAGGCATTCGACAAGAAGCTGACCGGCTTGAACGGCTCGAACTCCGAATCCCAGCTTTGCATTGAAGAATATCTCATTAAGAGTGAAAAGGAATGGTTCGACAAGTTCCGCGATGCTCGACTGGGTCGTCTGAAATCCCCCGCTTCGTCCGTCTTCCGGGACAAACATGGTGCCTCCCCCGTTGGTTCATACTACGATGACAATGGCTCTCGGGTGAGTGGCGACGATGATCGAGAGTCTCGGGATACGGAAGACGACGAGTTCCTCCTGGGTAAGGATTACGTGCCTCCGACGGGTCTGCGCAAGTGGATGCAGATTCGTGTCGGAGACTGGCCAGTCTACTCGTTGTTCCTTGCCTTGGGTCAGATCATTGCAGCAAACTCTTATCAGGTGACCTTGCTTACCGGTGAGGTTGGTGAGACGGCCGAGAAGCTTTATGGTATCGCTACCACCTACCTGATCACCTCAATCCTCTGGTGGCTCGTGTTCCGTTACTTCAAATCGGTGGTTTGCCTCTCGGCTCCCTGGTTTTTCTATGGCCTTGCCTTCCTCCTGATCGGCTCTGCCCACTTCGAACCCAATTCATTTAACCGGGGTTGGATCCAGAACATCGGCAGTGGATGCTACGCCGCTGCCTCCTCTAGCGGTTCCATCTTTTTCGCATTGAACTTTGGTGATGAAGGTGGTGCGCCGGTTGAAACCTGGATATTCCGGGCCTGTCTTATCCAGGGTATCCAGTCGGCTTATATTATCGGACTCTGGTACTGGGGTTCTACCCTGACCAAGGCATCCAGCCAGGGTTTGTTGACCTCGACGAACAATATCGCCAACAGCTGGAAGATGACGTGAGTATCTTCAAGTCCCTGATTCATCGATCAATCAGCCATCTAGTCAGTCATTCGGCTTGCTAACAATGATCCCCTCTAGTGCTATCTGTTACCCGATTGCAATCTTCCTATGGGCTGTTGGATTGTTACTGCTCTTCGGACTTCCCAACTACTATCGCCAGACCCCTGGAAAGGTGGCCTCCTTCTACAAATCCGTATTCCGCCGCAAGATCGTCCTCTGGAACTTCGTTGCCGTCATCTTGCAAAACTTCTTCCTTAGCGCACCTTACGGTCGCAACTGGGGCTGTAAGTCTCCCTCTTCCCGCCATATCTTGTCGAACTGGCAAGCTAACTCTACTCTGTAGTCCTTTGGTCTTCCAACCACGCTAAGGCCTGGCAAATCGTCATCCTATGTATCGTCTTCTACGGGTTCGTCTGGGCGGGCTTCCTGTTCGTCGTCAGCCGCTATTTCAAATCCCACAGTTGGTTCCTGCCCGTGTTTGCGTGCGGACTCGGGGCGCCTCGCTTCATACAAATTTGGTGGGGTGTCTCGGGCATTGGCTACTTCCTTCCCTGGGTCTCCGGAGGCTATCTCGGCGGAGCTCTGGCCTCACGGAGTCTGTGGCTCTGGCTGGGTGTGTTGGATTCGATCCAGGGTCTCGGGTTCGGTATCATCCTGTTGCAGACCCTGACCCGCATGCACATGCTGTTCACCTTGATCTGCTCGCAGGTGCTTGGTTCCATCGCCACCATCTGTGCGCGAGCGTTTGCCCCGAATAACGTCGGGCCCGGTCCTGTGTCGCCGGACCCTACCTTTGGAGGAAGTGCAGTGGCCAATGCGTGGTTCTGGGTGGCCCTGTTTTGTCAGCTGTTGGTGTGTGCTGGCTTCCTCCTCTTCTTCCGGAAAGAGCAGCTTTCCAAACCTTGAACGCCTTAATGATGTGGTGGTGCGCTTGAGCACCACTGGGCATGAACATTCTACATACGTCCCCACCATTCCTTTCTTCCTTACCTACACCCCTTGGATATACTTTTACTGTCTGTCATAATATAATCTCTCCTGTATGTATATAGAATTTCGCATGATGAACCGGAGAAGGTTTCGGTCGTCTCATTGAATACCATTGTGGGATTGGAAAATAGATCCCTGCAGATGCATCTGCTGTTCATCTCTTTGATCGTGCGAGAGTGTTTCGACTCGTTAAATGTAGATGGCATATCGTAAGAAGTGCTTGATAAGATGCGAGAGGTAGCCTGTAGCCAGTAACTTGTATTGAGTGCAGAATAGTGAGCCCAACCATCTCTCCAGTACCGTATGCCTGCCACAACCCAGGAAGGGATAGATTGCTGCCTCAGGTTCTCAACTCTTCCCAAAGATACCGCAGAAAAGGATGATTTACTGGTGACAAAATAACAATCCGAACAATTATGTTATAATCCAAAAGGGAACTAATAAATTAGTCGAAAAGAAAAAAGAGAAAAGAAAACAAGGAAAATAAAATCCGAAAGGGAGTCCCGAAGCAACTCCCGCTTCGGCCGGGACTATTCCCAAAGTAGACAACCGGGAGCTCCACCGCGGTCCTTCCGGGCGAGGCAATATTGAGAATGCGGGAGGGAGTGGGAAGTTAGAGAGAGAGACACTCTGGAACAGTTGTCCCCCCCTCTCTCCCTCCCTCTCTTTCCTCTCTCTTCTCTCTTCTCTCTTCTCTAGTCCTCTTCGTCGTCTTCCCTCCATCTATCTTCCCTGATGTTACTACTGATTGCTTGACTCCACACCTAACACTGCTGTCCCCATCACACACATATACTGTGTAGGACACACAATACATACTCTCTCTCTTCATCTACTTGTTTGATCATTTTATCATGAGGAAAACCCGTTACTTAATGAGCTCATCGCTCTTGCAATGTGGAATGATGGAATGATGGAATGATGGAATGATGATAAGATGAAAAGATGGAAGATGATGAAAATGCATCGACATTGGCTAACACTTGCCGTTCGCTGATTACAATAACACAAGAAAAAAACAACAGATGAACTGGAACCCGACCCGAACTGACTCCCAAATAAAACCCCCTTCTCCTTCCTAAACATCCGTCTTGAACGATGTGAGCCGCGCCTTGATCGCCTCCTCCGACTCGTCCGTGTCCAACTCCCGGAGAACACCGCTTCCGACATCATAAATCAGCCCATGAACCTGCAGCCCACGTTCCTGGATCGCCTCCAACACCACGCTCTTCTCCTTCAACAGCTTGACTCCCTCCAAGACATTCAGCTCGACCAGCTTAAGGTTCGCCTGGTCAGCCGGCAGCGAGTTCAGCAGATCCAGGTTCTTCGCCCGGAGCTGGCGCAGGGGCAGCAACCAGGGGTCCAGAATTCCCAACTGTTTGTTACCCAGGGCCGCGGCGACACCGCCGCAGCTGGTGTGACCGCAGAGGACTACATGGTTGACGCGCAGGTAACGGACCGCGTACTCGATCACGGCAGAGGAACTGAGGTCGCCGGCGTGCAGGACGTTGGCGATGTTGCGGTGGACAAAGACATCGCCCGGCTTAAGACCAAGAAGAGTGGTTTCGGGGCACCGGGAATCAGAGCAGCCGATCCAAAGGATCTCGGGCTGCTGGCCGTTCGCGAGCGTCGGAAACAATGAGGGGTCCTCCTTGGAGATCTGTGCTGCCCAGTCTTTGTTCTGGTGCAGAGCAGAGGTGAAGCGGTCTGCGTCTGTATTAGCACACGCTGGTGGCTTGGTGGTCGAGAAGCAGGCGGCTTGTCGTGATGGAACAAAGGAGACACGCTGGGAGGGAAGAGGAAGACTGGCTCGTGAACTTGACTGCACCCCCGACCGGGTAGAAGTATGTATTCCAAACCTGGAATACATCCGTTGCAGTCGTGAAACAAGCCTTGTGGACTCCATGGTGGTGTGAAGGGGCTATGAGGACAAGGATTGGACAAAAATTGCAGCACCACGAGGATGAGTCACTGCCAGGGGAACCCCGGAAAAAAGGAACGGAAATCAAAAATGGAAGGGCAGGTATTTCGATATGTTTGCAAATTGGCACTCGATGAAGCAACAAAGGTGGTACAGGAACAGAGGCAACGACACGCTGAGGATTCGCTGTGGAGGGAGTTGACGGGAAAGATGAGGAAAAGGTAAAATCTGTGGGGAGCCGCCGCTTTGCGAGTCTATCCAGAAACGCCAAGAATGGATGGTTCTATTCTGCTGGTGCTGATGCTCACGTACCTGTGCCAGTGGAAGCCATGATAACTGATGTTGGAGAGAGATTTCGCAGTGACCTTGTCGCACAGTCTTTTGGATTCAGAATACTGAGTATTTGGAGTTGGCTACAACGCTCCCTTTCTTTCTTGCCCCCCCGCCGGCAATTCCTTGGGGATTCTCGTCGGCAATGCCACCCCCAACCATGCAAACAATGCAAACACCCCAACTCACCGGACACCCAAAGGCGCCATCGGTCACATTTTGGTCGAATTAGACCTCTAGAGATAGGCAGATCAGCAGCTAGGGGAGCTGCATATACTACATTGCTAACCAGTCTGCACCAGATAAGGGTGCATCCAGGGGGACTACTATACAAGTTGGTGGTGGCCTTCCCTTCGGCCGTGCAGGCACCCGCCTCCCTTGTTGAGACGCTCGGCAATCCCCGGCGTCACGTGTGGATGGGGTGTCCGCTTTTTGCCGTTGAACCCCCAACAGTCGAGACTGGGTCGACAGGTGCTGTCTCCGAGGAGAAACCGGTCTGTAGTGATCACATTGGAGTGATCAAGGCACCTAGCGGATATGATGGGATTCTGTGTGGCTGTAATGGTCACTCGGAGGGTGTCTACAGTAGTCTGTAAATGTCGCAGGGAGGTTGGTAGGCCGCCATTCCTTATGCACCAGCTGTGTCGATGCGCAAGCACGATAGTATGCCATCCTTGATGTACCACTGAGACATGCACCGCCAGTATGGGCAGACTGTCCAAGTTATGATCCACTGCTTCGGGGTCCGGGTGAGGGTTGCTCCTACCCCGGCAGAAACCCCAGGAACAGTAGTACCTATACCTAAGATCGACCTCAACAATCCCATGCTCCATTCACATGCTGCGAACCACCAGTATATCTCGTGAACCCTATGCAGTGTGCCGTGCCAATCTCCGCTGTGAGCTGGAATGGCAGCCTCACATCATTAGAGGATCCAAATCCGCCCAATTATTTATCGGATAAGGCGACAGGGGATCAAGCGCGAAACACCAGTCGAAATCAAGATGTCTCTACATATAAAGACGTAGTCAGAATCGGGTCACATAAGAATCAAGCAGAACTGCAAATACACACCAGATCACCAGCTGCTGCATCATCCCAAGCCACTGGCCGCGGGGCATTCGTATGATGACACGCATCTACAGCTAGATCCGATTCCAAACTCTGCGTTTGCGAAGACTCTGCCTGCTTAAACTTAGCTGGTATACCCAGAGTAATATCAGCAGAAGACAACGCATAACACCTACCACTTGATATACCCCGCCACTCTCTCACTCTCTAAGACGTCGTCCCATTTCCGTCTCCTCATCCTGGCATTGATATCCCTCCAATAACACATCCCTACACCTCCTCGAAGCAACCGGACATGCATCATCAACCCCCAACGGCACCGTCTCCCCACCCCCACCCCCATCTATACTTCCATCCTTAACAGCTACCATCTCACTCCTAACCACCATAAAAAGAATCATCAATATACTAAACATCTTCGTCGCCCTCTTTTCCACTCTCACCTTCTCCTCAAAATACCTAATCGTGTTCTCCACGCTCTCGAACAGCGCCAGCCGCTGATAATACACGCTTTGATCCATGTATTTCAAGATACTACTACTCCCCGGAAAAGGTATCTCGACTACTCGGTCATGGGATTTGGTTTGTAAGCGTAGCTCGAAGCAGATTGTTGCTGCCGCGTGGAAGAGGTCGTCGCGGAAGAGCCCGCCTTTGAGGTGGTGTATGTGTGGGGAGAATTGGTTGTTGTTGTTAGGTAGTGGTGCTGATGGCTGGTTGTTGTTAGGGCGGTGGTGTGGAAAGCGCTCTAGCTGAGAAAGCAAAGCTATGCTGGTCTGGACGCAAACTCGTCGCGAGAATATGAAGGGTTCCTGGTCGAGGTGGGTTTCTGTGAAGCGCAGGAAGAAGGGTCGGTGGAGGGCGAGGAGGCTGCGGTAGTGCAAGGAGAGGAAGAATGAGCGGCGGAACTCTGTGTTGACGCTGCTGTCGTTAGGTGAGGGTGATGTACTGGTGTCGTCTCGGAGGTATGCTGGAGCCTGCGCCAGTCCTGTTGTCAGGCGTTCGCTGAGGGTGGTGACTTCATCGTTGTAAGTCGCGCTTAGGCGTACCCGATTGACCATTTTGGATATAGCTATTCGAGTCTCTAGTGTCTGCGCTAGAGCAATCTGGAAGGATGTTCTGGTTAGGGTATTTGATTTCCTCGAAGGAGGTAGATGGAGCGAGTCGATGGTAATGTCCTCATCGTCAATGTCAGATGGCAAGGGGCTGTCAAATTCGTCCCATGATACGGCCAATGGTATCCCGCTGTACAGAGAGGCTTGGAGCTCCAGCTCGATGACTGTTAGCCAGAGGCGTTTGCGTAGTTCGGCCCAAAACGGGGAAATGCTGGGAAAGTTGCATGGATCCCGATGAAGACCCGTTAGCATCGCTTCGCGGAGTAGGGATCCGGACGCCAGGCTGGCTAGATCGCCGTCTCGGGCGGTTGCTTGCTGTGCAAGGAGCAGTAGGCATTTGATCTGGATCACATCCAGATTCAGTCGGGCGTGGCTTTTCATGGCTGCTAACCATGTGGTGACTGCTGAGATCCAAGTATGACATGTCTGTATCAGTGACTGCGGGCTGAAGCCCGCGGATGCCAGTGGTTCTGTCTTCTCGGTGGCGAAGCAGCTGGCGCATGCCATTAACATGAGGAGTTTTGCGGTAAAAATTTCAGACTTGCTATTGGGCAATCCATCAGCGTGGGACACGTTACGATCGCAGAAAGCTTTCCATTCGCTGATGAATGATGGGACGTGCAGTATGCGTAATGTTGTCTCGAAGGTTGAGAAGTACGATCGCATCAGGTATTCGGCTAGAGGACGATCAGGCATTAATTTAATCAATTCTGAAGAGGGTGGCTGGTCGCTGTGTCGTCGTCTCTCAGGTCCCCTCAGATCATGTTTTAGTCTTCTTAGGGATAGGTAATCCATGAATCCTGGGTTGATGGGAGTTTGCTTGTTCCGATAGTACACATGCAAATGGGCGTTGAAATCGGGGAACTGCAGTTGACTTGTGAGCCATGCAATTGAGCCAAATGGAAACAGCTTGACTCTTACCATCCCAAGGGTAGTCGCCCAGTGACTCCGTCCAAAAAACCGGGTTCTTTGTTGCTTCCCTCGAAATGACAACGGCGAGAGATATTGAGAGAAGGCATCCCCTGATGCAGATGAGGCCTGCCCTCTATCATATTGAGGCTCTACGTCAAAGCATCGAGGGGCTGTGATTCCCCTCGTCGAACCCACTGCATTCAAGGGTGACGACCGAAAGACAGACCTCTTCGCAGCAGCATCCCCATCAACATTGCACGTACTCCCAGCAGTGACAGTAGACGGGGGTGTATCAAGCGGAGGCCCCGCAGACAGTTGCCTTACCGCACTTGCAGTTCGCGCATCTTCTTCTCGTACAATCAGAGACATTTTGGCAGACCTAGGTGTTAAACCCGGAGAAGATTGCGACGGAGAAGAAGTAGCAGAAGAATATAAGCAAGCATCTTGGGCGTTGGCGCGCACACACTGCGCGCAGGGCTTTGAACGATCGCACTTGACTTTGCGATCGCGACAGGAAGTGCATGACAAGACCCTCCGGGGTCTTCGAGTAGGGACAGGCCTTCGTAGGGGGTTTACTCTCATGATGCTTCGCTTAGTTGCGTTTAGGTGGTCCGGCTGCGCGGGAGCCATGACACCGTGGGGTGAGGGTGGTTGACCTGCTAATCGGTAGTTGGACAAACGTAGTAAAGGTATGGTCCGAGAATGTCGGGTATGAAGTAAATGAAAGTTAAATGAGACAAAGATGAGATTATGTGGCTGAAGTGGGAGAAGAGAGAATAGTAGTTATGATATCCTTCGGTGTTAAGACATATCCTAATCTGGAAATAGGGAAGTCCGGACCGGTGTCTTACCGTATGTGGTAAGCCGAAGTCCGCTAGCCTGTTGGTTGTCCCAAAGAAGTAATATAGTAGACATGTGTCGGGCGATCTATACTGGACCTCATTCATTACTGTTCTGGCAGTACGTATGTCTGCTCAAAACCTCCCTACAAGGTCTTATCCTGCGACTTCGTCTACTTACAGCAAACATTGGTCGACTCAACCGCCGAAAGACGACAGAAACATGAAGCATTGATAGGAACATCCGCCGAAGCCAGCGCAACGTCGCGTTGAGCACGAATATACCGAGCCTTGTCATGCATCCCCTGCCGGACCAGACACTCATACAAGCCATGCAAACTCCAGACGTTGTTCAATCTTGCCTTCCGACGCGGGAGGGTTTCACTCAACCCCAAATCCTCTTCATACACATGCTGTGCTTCACTAACGTGACCCTGTTCGAGAAGCAGAGCTCCAAGCGCATGTCGTGCAGGCTGCATCCATGGCGGAGGATCAGCGTAGACAAGGTTATCCTCCAACTTTGTCGCTTGTCGCAAGTGATTGAAGGCTTCCTCAAAGTTGCCCTGGCGATACTCGATCTCTCCTTTCAACATAGCCGATCCGATCTCAAGGACGTCCACCTCGCGAACGGGTAGGCTGTTCAAGCGAGATGGGGGAACCTTTTTGCGAGCAGTTTCAAATTTCTTCCTTTCCTCTTGAGCTTCACCTACGCGATTCAAAACCGCCAAAGCAATACCACGGGCATAGTAGATCATCGCCGTCGTGGACGCGAATAGCTCCTTATCCTCGGGGAGCTGTAGATCTAAGATATCATTCCACCGTCCAAAACGGATCAAGACATGGGCTATAGCTCCCAAAAATCCTTCTGCCCAATTCGCAATAGGAGGAGTGGTTATAGACAAGAGCTCGGGGGTGAGGATTTCCTGGAGACGCTTCATGCCAGAGATGGCCTCTGCAAAGTTCCCAGAGATGACTGCACCATAGACCTTTACGTAGATGTTGTGCGATCGGTACATGATATACAAGAGGGTGCCCGGCTCCCTGGCAAAGTATTTGTCGTCGACAGCCATGGCCTGGTTGTTCGAATCAATAACCGCTCGGTAGTCACCACAAGCGACGTAAATATGGCTAGGCATATGCAGCATATGCGAACCATCTGGCACGAGTCGAAGAAGTCGATCCGCAGCTGGTAGTGAGACCTCCGGATACGGAGCCATCTCCATGAGATGGATATACAGATGGCAGTAGGCAGGATTGTTACTGGCACCGGGGAGGGGGGCCATAGCTTTCTCCAGAGCCCGACGAGCCTCAGTCGTATGGGGACCGCAGGGCTCGCCGGTGTCAAGATTCCACAGAGCCCGCGGGGATATGCACATGAGTGACTCTACAAAGAGAGCCACGATATCAGGGTCCTCTGGATAAGCCTCGTAGACGGGTCGCATGGCGTCTGCATAAGCACGATCCAACGCATGAAGATCCAAATCCTCTGGCTTCGTTTCATCATCATCTTTGGGAAACCGAGCCCCCAAGGCCTCAATCAAGGCCCTTTCGGCCGGACTCGCCCCTTGTGCTGCCAAAGCCCGGGCGCGTTGGAGTACGGGTTTCATTTCCGTAATAGTTCTGGCCAGGTCCACTGGGTCAAAGCGAATCCAGGCCTTGTTGTAGTTTGGTCCACGGGCATAGGCTAGGCCCCAGTACGCCATGGCACAACTCTCATCGGCCTTGCTGGCTTTAATGAAGCAGCGGGAGGCTTCTTCATGGTTGAATGAGTAGGACCAAACCAGTCCGCGGTTAAACCATAGCTGGGCGTCGGAGGAGTTGGTCGTTACGGTTCGGCCGTACGAGCCTAGGTTGAAGTAGTCGTCCGTCATGATAGTGGTGGAAGGAGATGATGATATGAATGTTTCATCTGAAGCGAAGAAGAATAAGGTAAATCTGGGTTTAGTCTGGATGTTATTGAGCTGATAGTAAGATGGAGATGTGCCAGTTGGTGTTCCGGGCGGGGGTCGGGCCTTTTTATAGTTTATTGTTGTTACTACTACAGTTGGGCTGGGAAGGTGTGATCGGGGGTCTACTACTTTTAGCTGCATACGTCGTAGGCAGCTACTCCTCACCCAATCATACCGACAATAGTACTGATAGTACTAGTAATTACATGAGGAAATATGCAAGTCGATCGGCAATACCACCATACCACTGGTCCATCAGACGAAGAAATAATCGGACATACTTAGTATCGATCCACTCCAAGTTGTGCGGGTTAGAACATTCATCGGCATTTGAACCGGTGATAAGATGCTACCATAGCAGGGAAGATTGATATCCGAGTACTCCGTACATGTCTCCAAGAATAAACAGTTACTTGATCCTGAAATGCCGGTGGAGCTGCTCTCCTTTCATCCCCCGGAGATAAGCGGGAGACAAATCTTAATCAGGAAATGCGTCTTTTTCGCGGGAAAATTAGAACTTCCAATATAAGATCGAGAAGTACTAACCCTACCACAGACACTTCCCCAACTTTTGAATCTTTAGTATTTCATCATGACCCCCAAGATGTTACTATATAGAACAAGTTCAATCCTCCAATTGACTCCCCACTCTCGCCGCCTCTTTTCCATCCGCTCCCCAGTACAAGCCTGTCGATCCACTACTGCCCAGACCCCGAGCTGTTCCAAATCATCATCATCCCCAACAACAACCGGAAACACTTCCCCATCATGTTCAACTACCACAGAACAACCACAATCCCCAAACCCTCTCACCTTCAACTTTTGGACAACCAAACCCGCCTGGAAGCGCGCCAGCATCAACACCCTCCGCTGCCTCGTTGGCTGCACGCTGGGTGATTTCTCCGCCCTATGGATTCTCCAAACCTACTATCCCCATCTAGGCATGGGTCTTATTATGGGCGCTTCGAGTACGTCTCCGGTCTAGCCCCCATAAAAAGTAGCAAAGAAAAAAAAAATACGGAAAAAAAAAATGTCTAATGAACAGCATAGTGGCTTCGGGAATCACCACATCCATCATCCTCGAGACCATCCTCCTCCGCCGGGGCGCTGACCAACTCTCCTGGCCAGCGGCTGCCCGCACCGCCATGGGAATGAGCATGGTGTCGATGTTGGCCATGGAGACGGCGGAGAATCTGGTCGATTATCATCTCACGGGTGGGATGGTGAATTTGGCTGACCCAATGTTCTGGGCTGCTGCGGCTACGTCTATCACGGCGGGTTATTTGGCGCCGTTGCCGTATAATTATTTGAGGTTGAGGAAGTATGGGAGGGCTTGCCATTGATGAATATAACTAGGGTTCCTGTGTAGTCCATAGTATGTAACTATATCCTCTGCTCTGTATGTATATCGTTTGCTACGGATCGGCAATAGCGTATTCTCAAACTCAATTTAGAGATGTCTCGGTTTTCTGCGTCTAGCGGTTGTGTGAAGAATAGCGACATGGGTATTATGTCTCTGAATTTGGCAATTATAGTAACACTTTTCACTAGCCATGGAGTATAAGCATAAGGACCACCTTTTAATAGGGGGCCCGGATTAGTTGTATGTTAGTTCAAGCAAAACACAAAGGTAGCTTTCCGCCCCTGCACGTGGGTCAAGTACGCATCGAGCTCATGATCTTCGTCAATCACAAACGGAATCTCATTGCCCTTCTCATCACGGTCCATTCCTTCGATCTTCGTGACCACGGCGTCCGGGTACTTCTCGCCGACAATCTGCTGCAGCTCAGCCACCGATCGCGCCGTCAGCTTCTCCACCCAGGTCTTCGAGTCGCCGTGCAGCGGACTCTGGGGATGGATGCGAAGGTAGACAGGTACATGCAACACAGATGGCCCCAGCATCGGGTCTACATAGCCAAAAGCAGCTGCGGAATCGGAAGGGCCCGTCGCGAAGGAAGGGTCATTAGCAGCTTGCAGCAGGGAGGGATCAATTTGCATGTCACTGAGATCACTCGGAGCACTGGCCAGCGCCTGCGAGGCGAGTGTGCTGATTCCATTGGCAATGCCGCTCCCGTAGCTGCTGCTGACTGGAGGACTCCCCGGTTCTGACTGAGAAGCTGGGGCGTGAGGGACGGATGGTTTGCGGGCGGGATCCCGCTTGGTCTGGTCATCGCGAAGCCGCTTCATGACGTCGCGGCACAGCACTTCCAGCGCCTTCACTTTCGCCGTGTGCTCCGGGTCCGCCGGGCCTGGCGCAAGAATCTGACGTAGGAGCTCCGAGTTTTGGATCCATTGGTCCTTCAACTCCTTCCAATGTTCGTCGCCAGCCTCCAGCTTACTCGTGAAATGGTCCGCCTTCAGGGTGTTGTAGAATGCATTCCGTATCTGGCGGCTCTCCTCCGGGTTGATCCCGAGGACATTCTTGGCCTCGGCAATGGTCATTCGCCGTTCCAAAGTCCTCATCCTCTTCGTCACATCAGTGCATAACACATCCAAGGCAAGTGTTTTGGCTTCTAGCTGGTTGGGATCATGCCAGAACACCTGCTGGAGATGTGGTGATCCCTCTATCAGTTTGTTCTTGGCGTCCTGCCATCTCTCAGGTCCCGCAACGGTCTTCTTGATGAAGCCTGCTTCTTCACAGATCCGTTGGAACTGATCCCGTACCTGGCGATACATCGCATTGTCCAGCCCGAGATACTTTTTGCTTTCGTCAATGGTCGTCTCGGAGGGGAAGCGGGGAGGTCCCGGCGGGTCAGCGGGCAGCCCTGCCCATCCGCGAGTCCGGCGGCGACGCTTCCTGCTCGCCCAACGCTCTTCACTTTCCGCTTTGAGGCGCTCGAGGCGTTCCTTGCGCTTGGCAAGAACCTCGGGAGGTAGGTTCGGGGAGGTAGGGTCGTCTGTCGTGGGGGTGGGGAGGTTCTCGGTCTCGTCAAAGGGCGGTGCTTCGGTTTTGTACACTTCCTGCTGGAGGGCGAGGAGTCCTTCATCTTCGGGCAGCTGGATTGGCGTCTGAATGCGCGATTGTGACTTCATCCCGTTGGGGACCCGAAGCAGCCAGCGATTCTTGGCCCGCACTCGCATCAACTCCCGCTCTTTGATCTCAAAACCCTCCTCATTCAGTATGCGAAGCATGTCCCGCTGACTTGTATTCTTCTCCCATAGTTGCTTGACTCGTGCTACGAGCTTGGCGTTTTTATGCGCGGGATTTTGTTTCGAAGGGAAGCCCCACCGTTTGAATTGAGTCTGAAACGCGCGTTTACTATAAAAGGGCGCGAGGTTAGATACAGTAACAGACGCGAAGGGATAGACTTCGGGATATTTGAGATGGGAGATGTGAACAGAAGCACACAAGCAGTGTCAAATATGGCGGGTGCGCAGAATCACTGACCTTGGGGCGAACTGGTAGACATTCTTCATGTATTCCATAATCTCCTCCAAGGCCTTCTTATCCTTGATATACATCTGATAGCAGATCTCCCGCTTGCCATCCCAGTCGTAAACCATGGTGACGGGATGAACAAGGGAGGCGACACACCCTCCCCAGTGGAGGTAGTGCCTGGGGGGATAGCAACCCAGCCAGCCCAGCTGGGTGGAGTGTGGAGGGGAGTTGGGGAAGGTGAAAGATGGAGAGTGACTGCTGGAGACACTGGGGGTGCTTGCTGTGCCCCGTAGTCGCGCCTGCGAATCCGTCGTGCTTCTGGACCGCCGTAGTGCTAGTCGGTTGAGGGGAGCCAGACGGTGCACTTGCGCAACAACCTTGAGGAGTCACCTGACTTGCTGACCGGCAATCGGCGCGGATTAATAATCCAGTGCCGATATGCCCCTCCGCGCTGTGCCGTTACGTGATCGGCGGCCTCCCCGCAGATTACTAGATTTCTTCGTCTACTACTACTTCTTCATTCTCTTCCTCTCTACTCTGCGAATTGAACTCATAGATTGACATTACCACTACTGTGGATTTGTCAGGTACTGTCGGACACATCTTTTGAACTAGATCTCGCAATGGCCGACTCCGTCTACGCGGATTATCCACCCCACCTGAACCCCGCACAGAAGGAGTTCCTGGTCCGGACAGTGAAAGATTGGACTGTTCAACATGGATTGATGATCCGTCCTGCACCGACATTCATCTCCAAGGAGTCAGACCCTCAGGGCGTCGTGGCGACCAGTGCCCCGGTCACCTTGTTTCCTAGTCCTTTCCCCAAATCCTGCTTTGAAGAGGCCCTGGCCCTCCAGACAGTGTACAACCAACTCTATGCCGCGATCACCTGTGATGAACAATGGATTGGGGATATCATGGAAGAGTAAGGGGCACTCCTGAGCCATTATTCTGCTCTCAGCTTTGTGGAACAACTTCTGCGTTCTGCTCCACTTCGCTTGCTTTCGAGCTCCAGATGTAGATGCTAAACCGTTCTTCACTTTAGCCTCATTGACGTGGACGACTTCATCTCGCACCTCTGGAATGTACACCTCGCTGTTAAGAAGGAAGGTTATGTCCAGAACCTCTCCCTTGGCCTCTACCGGTCCGATTACATGCCTCACATGCCGTCTGCCTCGTCTCCTCCCTCCTTGAAGCAGGTCGAGTTCAACACCATCTCATCATCCTTCGGCGGGTTGTCAACGCTCGTGACTTCACTGCATACTGAGCTTCTCAACTCTCCACCGGGTCATCCCCTCGCTTATCCGTCGCATCCTCTGCTTAGCTCGAGCCAGCCTCCAAAAAATACTTCTGTGGAGACCCTCTCTGCGGGCTTGGCCGCAGCACACACTGCCTATGGATCATCCAAGTCATCCCCAGCCCTGCCTACATGCATCATCTTTGTTGTCCAGGAAGGTGAACGGAACGTCTTCGATCAATTAGCTCTCTCAAAGCAACTTACCCAAATTCACAAGATTCCCGTGTTCCGCTTGCTCAACTCCGAAGTCTTCACGCACACTCACATTCCTGCCTCCAATCCTTCCCGGCCGCTCATCTACCGCCCCCCTCACGCTGAAGGAGTAGAGTTCGAAGTTACAACAGTGTACCTCCGTTCTTTCTACACGCCGACCGACTACAAGTCCGAGCGAGACTGGGATGCTCGTATCCATCTGGAGCGTTCCGCCGCCATCAAATGCCCCACTGTCTTGAACCAACTTGCGGGATCCAAGATCGTACAGCAGGTGCTCGCGGAAGCCCAGGGGCCGGATCATCTTGCCAAGTTCCTTGCCGGTACTGACTCATCTACGATTCAGAGGCTACGAGCGACCTTTGCTCCACAATACGACCTTTCCTCAAGTGGCCGTGGGCGCAGCCTCGCCTTAACTCCCGAAACAGCAGCCAACCACGTGCTGAAACCCCAGCGCGAGGGCGGTGGGAACAACATCTACAAAGAGGCGATCCCTGACTTCCTGCGATCCCTCCCTGAGACGGAATGGAAGCGATGGATCTTGATGGAGTTGATCCAGCCACCTGCCGAGGCCAAGAACGTAGCACTGCGACCCGACGGAGAGGTCCTCAGCGGAAATGTCATCGGAGAACTGGGTATCTACGGCACGATCCTCTGGGACCAGGCTGGAGGCAAAATCCTGCACAACGAACAGGGCGGTTGGCTCATGCGGACCAAGGGCAAAGACGTCAACGAGGGAGGCGTTGCCACCGGATTCTCCAGCCTGGACAGTGTCATTCTCTATTAGAATAATATACGCCATCTGTACACCAGCTACATCTGCCATATATATCTATAATAGACAATATAGAGATAAATAATCACTTCTCAGAACCACCTCTACTACTACTACTCGTAGAATCTTCCCTAACCCAATGCCCACTCTTCCCCCCTTCTTCTCCAACAGCCTCACCCCCTCAACTACCATCCCCTTATCCACCGCCTTCAACATATCATATACCGTCAACGCCGCCCCCATTACCGCCGTCATAGCCTCCATCTCCACCCCCGTCCGTCCCTCACAACTCACACTAGCCACGACCCTCATTCCCCCATGCCCTAAATCCCACTTACCGCTATCATCACCAAGCTTGGCCGACGCAGCCTCCGGCCCAACCAACTCCACATCCACCTCCACCCCCGTGATCCCTATCCCCGGATGACACAGGGGTATAATATCCGGTGTCCTCTTCGCAGCCATGATCCCCGCAATGCGCGCTACACTAAACACATCCCCCTTTTTGGTCATCCCGCCGTCGCGCAGGATCTCCCAGGGCCGCGGGTTGGAGAATTGGATATGGCAGGCTGCTGTTGCGAGGCGGGAGGTTATGGGCTTTTCGGTGATTTTGGTCATGTGCACGTTTTGCGAGGCGTTGAGGTGTGGGAGGTCGGGGTCCGGGGTTGTGGGGAGGGAGATGGGTTTGGTGGTGTTGTTGTTGGTGGATGATTTATTGTTGTTGTTTGCACGCGAAGTGTGGTGGTGTCTCGATTGGGGGAGGTATGATCGTGGGATGCGCTGCCCTGGTGTTTGGCGGGGGATGGAGGGAGTGGGCTTATAGTTCGAAGAATGCTGGCTTCGCAATGATGGGTTATCTGCTTGGTGTCGGTTAGCGGAGAAGGAGTACATGCATGGCACATGATGCGAATAGAAAGCATTCAGTGACTCTATCGCTTACCTACCAATAAGTAATCTGGCGGCGTGATGAGTTGAATAGCTGCGGGGACAGCGAAGGGATGACCAAAGCGGCGCAGCTCCGCGGCTGCGCCATAGGAGTTCAGTCATTGTTTGGAGAATAGTTGGGTTGGCGCAAACAGTAGGCTATAGGATCACTGTGAGATAGACGAAGAATTGTTTCTTGATACGAGCTGAGTACGGTGTGAGGGGAGTGAGTCTAGAGGGAGGAGCTATCGGGGAAGCTTTGGTTGTTGTTTCTTATCAGTGGGGATGTCCTGCCGCAAATCGCCGCGGAGAACGCCGGTTCGGGTCACGTGAGCACTGCGGTCAAAAGAAATCACCCAGTTATTCATGAGAGTGATATTAATGTACTCATGTTAGATGGTCAGCTCTTCATCTGAAGTGAATTGATAAATGGTCGCGTGGCCGATATTCGTTGGGAACTCCTAGTAAGTAGTATTACCCTTGCCCTTGTCCACCCTCGTTCCGATACTATATATTTTAACTTTGTACCCTCTTAGACTACCGCATGATCGCCATAGTGCCAGTGGTTGACAATATAGTATGTCTGGATAGTCTGCGCAGTGACTCTCCATTGAAAGAGACGCAGCTCCTACTAGTTTCGGTCGAGCCAATCCCACCAGAGGCAAAATCCCAGGACATCTCATAGGCCTCTAGGCCGGAGATAGCAATGACGGGCGTATCTATTCGTGGCCGTGGGGTATCACGGCGATCACTTTCATTTCCACTATAGACGCTACTATAATCATTGATGCAATTTAGTCAGTCAGCATCTGCTATAGTATATTCAACTGTTCCATGAGGTCAGACATGCCACTCGCCGTGGCTTGAGACATTTCCATTTCCCCGCCCGTGAGTCTCAGACGCTCAACCACCATGTGAGTAGCTGCGTGATGGGTTGATGCGATGAAGAGGTGACTTGATGCTGTTGTACAACTGAGCAAGCAAGCAAGCAAGCAGGAGTTTCTCCGCACTATTACCGACGCTACCAATTACAATCTCACGTCATATCGTATCGAATGTCCAAGCAGTACCCGAATATAGTTGAAGTGGTTCAAGAACTGTCGGATGAGATTGAACATACTACTTTGCTCCGCAGACAATCCGATTTGCATTATGGACTACCAGTGGACAAGATGCCATTTCTCGATGTTTGGTGTGGTTCCTGACCCGTTCATCAATCAGTCCGGCCCCCTTCCCCGCGGCCATTCCCCCGCATTTCCCCCCTCCTCTTCGAAAGCCCTCCAATGCACCAAGACCCTAGTGACAGGAGTGGCGTTGTCGCATTGCAGTGACACGCAGGAGGACTAGTCTGGTCATTGGCGACGCTTTCCATATCAGGAAGCATCGGGCCACCGGCGGGGATCAAAAAGGGTCAAGCCGGATGCAAGCTCAGCAACTATCGAAAGCTAGTTCGAGTTTGAACAGGGTCCGATAAAACTCCTCCAGTCAGCACTCTGTACTTGTGAGACATAACACCTTCAGGGTCGAGCCTCCCCTCTCAGGCTCCAAGCGATCCCGGTTGGTAGGACGCCTGAATACCACTTCCCTGTCTCCCGAGTGGTTCACCGTTGTCTCGGTCAGCTGCGGAACAGACCTGGTGCTGCATTAGAAGGAGAAGAACTTTAGTCTCAGGCTCTAAGAAAACATGGACCATCTTCCGTTATGGAACGGATTAGCCGGTCTTGGCCATCGGGAGCGGAAATACTACGACGGATATGAAGAGACGTCGTGCAAAAAGGGAAGACTACAGCCGTCAGTACTACTGAGTAGGTGAATTCCACATCACAAGGTAACACCCGGCAGCAAGACACTCGTCACCCGATTTACCCGGAGTGTCCGTCGTGGTGAGACTTTTGCAGACTATCCTCGCTATACAGCATCACCAACCAGGATCGTTCCAAGACATGACTTGCCTGACGAGAGCCCAGGGCAAGATAGGCGTCCATAGTAGTATCTCACTGATGCCTCCATAGGGGTAACTTTGCCATCATGGAGGACTATATAAACCACCTTCCTACCCTCCCATCCAGACTCATCTCTCATCCTCAGAAACAGCCTCTCTCCTCTCAAGATATCAAGAACTACAAGAATATCCACCATGTATCTCACATACATCACCCTCCTCACCCTTCTCACCTCCCTTGCCTCAGCCGCAGCGCACATCCCCCGCGACGGTGGCACTCCCACCACCCTCACAGCCGCCGCAGCCATCAATGCCGTGGCTACCCCTTCCCCAACCCAGCCCGGCATGACCAGCAACTGTGACTCCTTCCACCTAGTATCCAGCACCGACACCTGCGTCACCATTGCCTCCAGCGCCGGTATCACACTTGCCAACTTCTACTCGTGGAATCCGGGTGTTGGCTCCGACTGCGATACTCTCTGGCTGGGGTACTATGTCTGTACCGGAGTGAGTGACACTACCACCACTACAACCATATCTACGACTACCACCTCCACCACCACGAGTGTTACCACGCCATTGCCCACTCAATCGGGGATGGTGAGTAATTGCGATGCCTTTTATCTGGTTGCCTCTGGGGATACTTGTACGACAGTGGCGCAGAAGAAGAGTGTGTCAGTGACGGATATCATCGCTTGGAATCCGGCAGTGGGGACGGGTTGTACTAATTTATGGTTGGGGTATTACATCTGTGTGGGGGTGTTGTAAGGTTATGGTCGATTTGGGAGATTATGATTGATGTGGTTCTTGACAGTTGTGCCGGTTGATGATTGGGTATGTTGGATATTGGTTGTGTATGGTCTTAGTCTAGTAGCTAGGGATTGAGTAATAATGAACTACGTTGTTTAAACAGTGTTACAACGGAGACACCCAATTAGTCCAGTTCCTACATTACTAGTCTTCCATATCAAGATAAAAGACAAAGCATTACCTTCGATCGAAACGCATATATCGAGGAAACAGCAGACCTAAATCAATAGATTGAGATAGCGCATAGTTAGGGTGATCTTGTGACCTAAGCCTTGACAATAGTATCTATTCGCTGCTGTACGACCTGGTTAGCGACTCACTTGTATATCAGATGAAGATTACCAAGACCAGAGACTTCGAATATATAAATCATAAACAGAATTAGTTTTTTTTTTTTCTAAAAAAAAAAAAAAAAAAAAAAAAAAAAAAAAAAAAAAAACCAGAAGACATGATATGTGGGCGAAAAATGTCTGGTAAATATGTGATATCAAAAGTAAAAGTGTCAAGAGTAGCCCAAGTGCGAGATACGGAGAGACGAGGTAAATGGTAGGCGACAGGTCGTCACAACGATTTAAAACGGACTTGAGTTGTAATAAAAGCTATCATACAAAGTTTAATATACACACAGGGTGGAACGTGTATCAACACCACTTCCAGGGAGGTCCGTGGTGCTCAAGAAGTATAGTTGTGGAAGCATTTTGCAATGTCAAGAAGAGAGGTTTCTCAGCATTGAACCGAAAAACAAAATACAAAAAAGGAAAAAAGGAAAAAAGGAAAAAATGGAGGTTTAAATTATGCAGTAATGTTTTAATTCTAGTTGTATCGTGGCATTTTTTAAACTAAGTTAACTAACTAAATACATCTTCTGTCATATATTTCACTGCAACTGGGATCAAGTCAAATGGAAACATGATAGTAGAATAACGGCCCAGGATAAATAAAACGAGGTAAACAAACGTAGAGCTAAACACAATCAGAGCACAACCATTTGAACCGTACAAATCCTTCCATTTTCCAGTTCCAAACAGTAACGTCAAAGAACGGATACAGGAACAATTGAGCAGACGGTCAAGCATAAGCTAACGAGTGACAGGTCCGACAACTGCTGGAACCCTCGAAAAAAAAAAAAAAAAAAAAAAAAATAACAGGAAGCCGAAATGAGTGAAAGACAAAACTAGGATTCACTGAACAGACCGGCAATCAGTCATGGGTGAATCTTGCCTCAAAGTTCCAATGTTGGCTCTCGGACCAGACATTCTGGTTGGCCGCGGGTGTTCGATACTTGGATCGTGACTGGCGAGAACCACGCGAGATACTCGGTCCTTGAGTACGCCTGGGAGGAGCGGGAGTTCTTGCAGGAGGTTGGGGATTCGTTCGCGACGAACCACCACGCTGATAAGGAGCACTGCTCTGCCGTCGGTCAGATTCCCTACGGCGGTATGGGCGGGTGGGTGTGCCAGGCTCTTCAGGGCTGCTCCGCCGATGGCTGCGGCGGGGAGTTGGGGTCAGAGTAGCAGAAGACTCGACTGAAGGAGAGGTGCTCGTATTGGAACATGGTGTTTGGTTTGGCGATAGGAAATAATCGTCTTCAGGCTCTTGACCACTCATATACGCATCGTCTGCGTGCTTGTCCGCCTCGAGCTTTGGTATAACCAACTGTGGAAAGAGGTTGCGGCGGTCCTTCTCGACTGCTGTGCAAATGTTGGTGAGATATCTATAGCGCCGTCTGAATATCAAGTTAGAATTCATGGCTTGAAGAATCATGAACTGGAATAGTAGATAGCAACTTACCTCGCAGTATCAGCAGAATAGCGATCGTCTCCTCTTTTCTTCACTAGCTTTTCGAACACCTGCTTTGAAAGGGTTCCCTCGTTCAAAGCTTGGATCATTCCTCTCAGTAGCATGCAATCTTCAATGTAATCCCACGAAATTGGAGACCGTTTGGTTACTAAGGGGTTGCGTGGGGGCGTCTCAGGTCCGTTCCTGGTTTGCCGTCTCGAAGAGTTTCGGGGCATAGTGGTCTGCAGGTGGCTTTACCACGAGAAGAGAGTGGGAGCTGAGAAAGGCTAACGAATGGTCAACTCTTGGTAAAGGATGAAAACTGATCGGGTACGGATTGTGTCTTATATGGTAGCCTGAGGAAAGCTTTTCAGCCCACACGATGTGGGAAGTCCCCGTAGTCAAAAGCACTTTTGCATTTTATTCAAGTTGATGTATAGACATCGACCTACTTGCTTTGGGTGGCCGGTAAAGACACAAGTGCGATGTCTGTCCCAGACTGCAGTCTGCGTCTGCTGTGATCTGGCCAACTGGTGAACAGGTTAAACGCAGGCACCGAGCAAAATCCGTGGGTGATATATCCGATATACCATGAATGGGTCTTCCAACTTGACGGCTGAGTCGGGAAGTGGGTCTTCAAGCAGGTACTCCGGACTGAAACATCCTTTTCAATGTGATCTGTATTGGTGGGGCTTACAGGACTCAAGCTGAGTGATATGTCAACAGTTGTATACTTACTGTTCTTCTGACTGACTGGAAGGCAGAGTCGGCGGATTCGGATTCGAGAAGTTGAACCTCAACTGATCCGATAGACTAAGTACTGACAGTGTCAGGGAACAAAACCTATAGATATGTGAGTAATCATATCAGCGGGCTCTCGACTACTAAGTAACTCCACCAGCAACCGCCTTAGGCGATCAGCTCCTTGGAACAAATTGACAGGCCGGTGACTTTCGGACGCCATGGACCGGATCGAGCCGCCTTCTGCAAAATCCAGCAGATCCCCAATCGATGACTGCTTGGGATTGTTGAAAACGCAGCCAAGAAACCTCCGACATGCATCTAAATTTTACTGTACGGAGTACCACTAGCAGCTACTCTCCCGTATACGTAAGTACTACACCCAGCTCTCCTAGCAGATGTTAATGTATTATAATGGATTTAGGCCCTAATTCGGCTATAGAGAGTTGAATTTGGGCCGCTTTCGACCGCGGCAAAAGTAGCGTCCGCCCGATCTCGGCCCGGCTTGCATGACAGAATCTTGTTTCAGTTTATTCTACTGTCATCTTCCTTGTGTGGTTATGCCTCCAATATTCGAGCCAAAGCCACTTAACGATCCAGCAGCTGATTTGCTCAGAGAGTCAGGAAGCAAGCTACTCGGCGCGAAGCAACCCGTGAGTGGAACTCCACAACCACCCCGGCCTTCACAATACATCGCACACACAATCCCTGTTCCAACATCGGCCTTGGGCGGCTCCAAGCTAGATTCTTGCGCCGAATCAATCCATCCCCTCCAGGAACAAGGGTACTCCATCTGGCCCCGGAGATGAAAGCCAGCCATCTTGTACTTTCCCGCCTAGCTTATCAGAAGATGTGCTTCCCCGCGCTCCATTGGATCTATCAACTTTATCTGCGTATTTCTAGCGTTCAACCATAAATCCCACACTGTTTACTTCGTACCTGTGGTGTATTATTGTACAAAAATATATTCGCACTCGACCTATCCAATACCTCCCCCAGTCCCAGAGATGGAACTTGAAGTGTACACATAAACTACGCCTACAGTTTACATTCTTCCTCCTCTTCACAGCTTGATCCCTGTCTATAGCTTCACCGCCAGAATATCGGAGTGGTCGATCTTTACGTCGGGGACTGTTGCCAATGCTGCAGGTAGATTGGGTGTTTCAGCATCCCCAAATTTTGACACAGGAGGCTAGCGCATGCTGCATTCACGGACTCACGGGAGAAATCGTAACTGAGATGCTTGGTTGCCCGGGTGATTACTTCCGATCCCAGGGAGAACCAGAGAATATACTGGCTGTATCCTCAGTAATGATTTTGTCACTTGAAGCCGGTGCCCTAGTAGGTCTTTGGCTGGATCTAGACTGTAGCTGAATGTTCCGATTTATTATATCATTAACTTTGTTCTGCTGTGGTTCCAGCCAGGTCGGTGGCCCACAATCGTGACTTTACGGGTCGTTGCCATGGAGAGGCTGCAAGAGTCCGTATACTGTGGACATGGGTTGCGTGCTGATGCTTCGTAATTCAGGACATCTAAGACTACCTTCTTAGTGTACTCTCCTACGCCGAGATTTTTGTCAGGTCCCAATGGTTGTCCCATGCTCTCTGAAGGTATCCTGTAGAAGACCCAGATAAGGCGTATTCCCTGACTTCTCCGCCAAGTCCAACTCGTCGAAAGCCTTTCAGCTAGTCACACCAGGGCCCAGTGCTCCAACTCCCCTGCCTCTCATCGGAATGGCTTCTATTAACCTTGAAAGGAGCCCAGTAAAAATACTTTGCAGCGTATAGTGAGCTGGTAAACCCTCAACAGCTCCCCTTTCCGACAGCGCGGCAGGACAAGCATTCTTAATGTCCAAATATGCCTGAAAGCTGTGGCGAGCGCTCTAATGTAGCTGGAGAACTTGCAGTATGTCAAGATTAGTCCGTGCTCCCCAGATTAATGGCGGAGGTACTGACCCATCCTTCGGATAGAAACCTATAGTCTCATGGACGTACTCTGCTGTATTAACTGAGTGACTGATATACATCGACAGTAGCATCACCTGTCCAGTATGACTGGTTGGCTGTTGAATGCATTCTGAACGTCTTTCTCAGTCTCGCAGCACAGATCCTTTTAGCCCCTACTTGTTGAATAAGTAGTCGAGCTATGCTTTTCGTGGAGTGACACAGCGAAGGCGATCCCACACCCGCTATCAAGATAATTCACCACTATCAATGTTACCTCGGTCCCATACTGGCCATCTCGACGTTCATGGTTGACTGTCACTCCCCGTATTCTCTATATGCTTCCAGTTGCAAAAGCCAAAAGCAATGGGTACCCGACTTGACCCCATCGGGTACGTCACCATTAGTGACTGTCCACAACACACGCAAGACCTACAACAGCAACTCCATCACCTTCCTGAACTGGGCTATTCCGAAGAGCCGAAGGCAGATGTCCAGGCGATCTAATCGAAATCCCGGCTACCGGCATGAATGAAACCTTGTTCGAGCTGCCGCGTGTTCCGTTCATCCAAGGTCACCGCTACACCGTCCGAGCAACAGAGGGTCCGATCAGTCAAACGACCAACCACCAGCTGGAAATTATGAGTGAACCCGAATGAGGCAATTTCAAATCGGTGCTCGGTACATTGTATTTCTTTTACCCGAGGCAATTGCGCTTGGTTCCTTTGTTTACCTCTGCTGCCTGTTGTCACTTGCCCGCCCGATTGCTGGAGAATTATCCCCAGATACCCAGGTATAGAGACATGATGAAAGTGGCGTCAGCATGATCACAGTCACACGAACAGCCTTTCT